CACTGTAACATCTGTTCATTGCTGAGTCACTCAGGGGCACAAGTTTCTCTAGGTAAGACACCATAGTCAGGAAGGGTGCTAACCTTGCTCATATAAAGCCACAAGAGCCATTTATTGAGAGCAGTGGTAAAAACCAATTGTTTCAGGATAGAGGAGATCATGTATATTAAAGAGGGATGCCAAAATGAAAAGAGAAACATCTTATGAAAAGCTGTATTAAAGGAACAGGAGGTGAGTTTTGAAAGTGTCCTGGGGATTCCAGAAGCCTTGAACTGAGGAACCAGAGGACTGCAGCTTGCAGAAGATCCCTTCTTTTCTGTCTACAGTGGAGTCCTTGGCTGTCAAGGTGCCTGAGAAATTTAGAAGAACAAATGCATAGGGATTGCAAGGTTCCCTGAAGTCAGACTCATTCCTGGCACCCATCCATTGTACACCATACCACAAAGATTTGATTCAGGCTTTTAAGCTGGCATATAAAGTTCTTGGTGATGTCCACAGTTGGTCACCTCTTATTTACATAAGGTGTCACTGGCCCCAGCACTTTATCAGACTTCTGCAGACTACAGACAGCACCTGTCCAGGAAGAGGTCAGCCAGTGGGGCCTGATTGGTGAGTTTCTTAAGATTGTTGTCTGTGATCTGGGCTCTGCTTACAGAACTCTCCCTCACCCTGCACTCACTAGCTGAAAGGCCACTCAGTTGGGTATGAGTAGTTAGGCTGTAGTCATAGATAGGCAGGAGAGGGGAAATTAGTCATTCAGAGGGTTGTAGCCAGACTCAAGGAAATGGGAAGAACTGAGGATTTCATAAGGATTAACAGTTTGGGCAATGGTAGTGGCAGAATCCAGTCAAATCTATAAGCAAGTCCCTAAAATAGACTGTCTATAATAGTGGGCAGAGAAAGGGAGTCAACTAACAAGTCATAGTTTGCATAGCCATGAGTTAGTACAATTTACAGTTACTACATAGCTCAAAGACAATAAACAGAGGTCAAATTTGATGACCAGGAAGACTGTATATGTTTTCCATCAAAACATAGAGACTTATTTTTCTGCACCTCCTTGATAGGGAGGTTCTAAGAGTAGTTTTTGTTGGAGGCAAGACAGGTAGGAGGAGTTAAGAATGGAAAGAAAATACAGAAAGAGAATACCACATGACTGTCCCAGGTTGAACTTCACTTTTCTGGGTAGTCTCAAGTTCAGGGCAAGCTCACATTCACTTTCATTCAATATGCATCTACAGAGTGCTAAGAGCTCTGAATTATACCCTATGCGCCACAATTCAAAGCAATTCCCTAATGAACCTAAGTTCCCCAAATCCCAAATAGGAGGGTTTCTAAGTCTGTTACTAACTACTGTGCTCATTAAGTATAGAGACTTACTGTCTACACTTAAATAACCAATTGAAGAAAACTGACAACTCCTAATTGAAATTTAATGTTTCTCCAATAATGTAGTCTACTATCAACATTAATACTATGATGATAAATATTACAGAAAATCCAGTGCAGCCAAGAATAATTAATGAAATTGCAAAAAGTTGTGGTAGAAAAATCTGTTGTAAGTCCTTACATGCTTTTATTTCCCTAAATTTCAAAAAAAGAGACAAACACTAGGTTTGTGTGGATTCAGTAATTTTCATAGAAGACTTAGGGTAATAGTGAGGCAAAGAAAGGAACATGCGCTCTCAGATCTACATTCTAACAGCCGTATGCAAAGAACTTCCACAAAAAAATTAAATCAACTTCTAGGTTCCACACTAACACAACAACGTACAACTCTAAAAATATCTTTTATCTACTCAAAACTGCTGTGCTTCTGTTTTTGAATGTACTTGTCCTCTTTCTTGTACAAATGATAAACTTCCTGTTAACCAGACCATGTCTTTTACTTCCACGATAATCTCTTCAGACCCAATAGCTCCTCACCGTCTAGCCCAGAGTAAATTTTTAGGCTTTATGAGTCATGTATGGTATGTTACATTTTTCAAAAATTTTTATCATAGTAAAATATCTTACACCTTTTCAAATACTTTTACTATGTTGAAATACACTGTGATGGTTAAATTCAGGAATATATCTGACTGGAGTGTTTCTGGAGGCCCTTGGCATGTGAGTCAGTGGACTGAGCAGGGCACGATCCATCCTCATTCAAGTATGGTGGGTGGTCACCATCCAAGGTCAGCGTCAGAAGGGCTCAGATAGAACAAGATGGCAGAGGAAACGTAAATGAGCCCTTCCTCCTAGATCAGAGGACAATCTTCCCCAGCTCAGCAGCATTTCCAGTCTTTAGAGCTACAGGAGTTCACTCTCCCTCTCTGCCTGGTACTCAGGGTCACACCTGGTACTCAGGGTCACACCAAAATATCCTATTGGTTCCTTTTCTTTGGAGACCCCTGGCTAACACATACACATAAGATTTACCATCTCAGCCATTTTAAAGCCGAGTCTGGTAGCATAAAAAACATTCATTGTATTGTGCAATTATTACCACCATTCATGTGCAGAACTCTTTACATCCTGCAAAACTGACATTAAACAATAGCATTCATTATCCTCCTCCCCCATCCCCTGGCAACCAGCATTCCATTTTCTGTGTCCATGACTTTGACTAAGTACCACATGTAAGTGGAACCATACACCATTTGTCCTTTTGTGACTGGTTTAGTTTACTCAGCAGAATACCCTCAAGGTTCATCCAATCTAAGAAATTGTCATAAATTTCTTTCCTTATAGGCTGAATAACACTACCCTTTACACACATATCACAATTAACTTACCCTTTCATTCACTGATGGATACTTAGGTTGCTTCAACATTTGCTATTCTGACTAGTATTTCTATAAAGAGAAAAAATATTTGAGACTTTGTTTCTAATTCTTTGAGCATATACACAGTAGAATAGTTTGACACAGTAAGTTCCTGACTTACAAACGAGCTCTTCCTACATTTTACAGGTTGATCTCAAATTTGACACTTGAGGCACATGCCACCAAACTAAATGTTCAAATTTCCCCCCACTCTAGTTCTTTTCTTTGCTTGTTCCTTCTTCCCTCCACTCCATATTCCTTTCTCTATTTTGGTAGTTCTTCAGTGCTAGAATTTCTCTATGTATCCTGGATATTTATTCCCTAACAGTAATGAGTTGCAAATACATTCATTCTAAAGACTGTTTTACTGGTGATAGGTTTTTGACACAGAGAAGTTTTAAATGTTGAAGTTCAACTTGTTTTCTTTTATTGCCTGTGCCACTGATGTCATATCCAAAAATCACTGTCAAATCTGATGTCGTGAAGCCTTTTTCTGTATTTTGTTCTAGTATTACAGTATTGTCTCATCTTTAGGTCTTAGAGCCATCTTAATTTTTCTATATTGTGTTAGGTAAGGACCTAAGTTCATTCTTTTGCATGTAGGTGTCATTTTCCCAGCATCATTTGTTAACAGATTGTATCATTACACTGTACTGACATCTTTGTCTGTTATTGTGGCTGGATGTCCTTCCAAAGCATCATGCAGTCACAGGGAGGGGAGGCTTTTCGGAGGAGGCTGAATCTAGCATTTGTGATTGATTCATGGTACAATGCTGGGATTAAGGTAATCTGCATATAAGGGACAGAAATTCTCATCTCTCATTGTTTTTGCTGTCACAGCCATGAACCGTTGTCCCTCTGCCACTCTGCCTTGGTGCCAGCTGATCATGGACTGAAACCTCTATAACTGTAAGCTAACTCTCTCCTTCAACTCGTGGGTGTTGACAGAGAGAAAAGAAAGATATTATCAAAAATCATTTGACTACATATATGTAAGACTTTGTTTCTGGACAATTTACTTTCTTCCATTGGTCAGTGTATCTGACCTTATGCCAATCAATACCAAGCTGATTAGTGCAGCTTTGTAGTTCAGTTTTAAAATCAGGAAGTGTAAGCCCTCCAGCCTTGCTGAAGACCAATACCCCACATGTTTTTATTTCCACAAAGTGCATCATTGAGATTTTCACAGTGAATGGGCTGAATCTGTGTATCACCATGGGTACTACTGACATATACTTTTAACAATCTGAAGTGTAAGTCACGATGGGCACACCTCCCATTCATTTATGTCTCACTTCACATTTTGTCCGAGGACTGATAGGTCTTATGTTTTGTAGTTTTCATTGTACAAGTAGTCTTTTTACCTCCTGCATTTTACTTCTGTAAATGAAACTGTCTTAAGTTTCCGATTGTCCATTCTTAGTGTACAGAAGTGCAACTGATTTCGAACAGATTTTGCTTCCTGCTTTTTTGCTAAATTGGCTTATTTAGCAGTTTATTTATAATACTTTATTCATCAGATCTGGCACTATGACTTCTGCCTCCTGCCCAATATCAAAATGATTATTAAAGGTAAATGTTTTTGAATCAGTTCAGGATTCTTAATGCAGAGTAACTGTACAAATGTAGATACCAAGAGAAGATGGTGCTAGGAATAACAGGGTAAGTACATTCAAAAGAAAGTGGATTTATGAGAGCTTTTAATGACAATGTCTTTTACTGTAACAATTTCAAGTTTAAACATTACCGTATCTTTAAGTCACAACCTGTGTATATCCCCAACCCCAGTGCATTTCTCTTTTAAGCACCAACCACCTTGTTTTCTCTGTGTACTTCATCAGCTCTGCTTGATAAATGTCTTATGCCTCAAGTTCTTTTTTCTATAGAGTCAATGAACCTACTCCATAGAGGTGACCAACTTGTGGTCCCCATCTTCTCTTTGGGGAACTTCTTCATACCTATGTTCACAAAGAATCAGTGTTACCTTCACTCAGGAACTTGATTTTCTATGATTCTGGTCACAAACAGAGAAGAACCAATTCAATGGTTAGGTTCAGTGTTGATTTCATGGGGAAATTTGATTCAGTTCTCATCCTGTTTGATTTGCTACCACAATTATGGAGAGAACTGAATTTGTGAACCAAGGTGCCACTAATAATTTGGGGCAGCTCTCAAGTTGGAAATGAACCACACTTCTATCAGATAACATGTAGTTTATTTTTACATTGGAATATTACACAACCATAAGAATGAACTATGTGCAAATGCAATAAAAATCTCATGAACATATGGTTGAGCCAAAGAAACCAGATACAACAAATGCATGTTTAATTCCATTCACATAATGCTCCAAGAACCAGACAGTGATTAGTTACAGCAAGGGAAGATGTCACCAGAAGGGAGCCTGATAGGGTTGAAGACATAACTGCATGCATGTGATCAACTTGTGAAAATCACTAATGTGACTGTACAAATGCTACATTTGTGTCTGTTTGGTCCTCAGCAGAGGCCAAGGAAGCCTCCTGGTGAAATTTCACAGCAAAAGCGAAAAGCACTAGAAGAGCAATCTTTAGGCTTGGCTGTGAGAAGCAGGTCTTCTTCCTATTGCAGAGTTCAAGGTTCTCTGCCTCCTGCCAGTGCATTAAGTGCTGGAGAGCTCTCTACCCTCCCTCCAAAGCCTTTCATGTAGGAATCAAAACTCCTGTCAAGGAACATGGAAAAATGCACCAACGTTTTAAGTCAAAATACTGGAGCCCCCCCAAAGAACAGCTCAGACAACAGGTGAAGACTTACCAGTGACATGCAGCCAGGTTGCAAGCTACCTGGTCAGCATCCTCTCTCCCTCACTTTCTTGTCATTGCAATGGGAATGATGGTACTTACCTCAGAGCTGTTAAAGGGATTGAAATGAGCTGTCACAGGTAAAATATCTAGCAAATGACACAGTTAGGAGCTTCACAAACATGAGCTGTTAACCTGGCTTCATGCAAGGAATATTGTTCCTGAGGAACATAGTCAAGTAGTTCTAGGGAGAGGACTTGGGGTTCAACCAAATTTCCCACAGCCAAGTCACAAAACACAAGCATTTTGGTACAACTTCTATCAGGAACCAAGTGCCTGGGTTTGGCCTCTACTTTAGATTTAAGGACCTTTCCAATGACTGGTTCCAGCTAACTCAAATATACAGAGTCTGAGGTAGACAACAGAGATCTGGTTTATGCAGTGAAAATAATGCTCAGCAGCTAGAATGTCCACAATGGCCATTTCCACCCCACCTGCAGGCCTAACAAGCCAGACCTTCACCAGAGACAGCCCACATGCATGCAGAACAACTTACACAATGAATCAAGACAGGGTCCAGGCACCTTCCCAAAATAGCTAATGTGGCTGGGATCTGAAGCTCTTGTGGCCCACAAGACTGCTGATCACACTGTACCCTGCCTCAACCTCATCAAAGTTTGTAACCCTCTCCTCTGATCCTGAACGAACAGGTAAAATCAGATAGCAATCCTGTTTCTTTGACTTCCAAGTGTGGGACAGGGAGGTGGGTCAGGAATCACTGTACCCATGACCAACCTTCCAGTCTACCCAGGCTCACTCTCCTTAGTGGGAGTCATCTTCAACACCTTTCCTGTCCAAGGTCAAGTGTCCCTGGGAGTCACATTAGACCACTTGCTTGTGCATCCTCCAAATGCAGATGGTTTGGGTGATTTGTAGGCCTGCCCACTCTCACTAGCAGAGGGTGCCACCAGTGTGGCAACTGCTACTGCCAGTGTCTCACCCTGAACACTGGCCACTATTCCTTTCCCTGAGGCAGATCCCAGGGCCAAAGAACTCAAAGTCAGTGCTTATGGCCACACACAATGCAACCTTGCTCCCAGACGAGGCTGTGCCATTCTATAAACAGCTGCTCAGATCTTCATCTTTAACTCCACCACAAAGGATAAGCTGCATATCAGGTGGCAGATATTGAACCAGTGGACAACTGTCTCCCCACTGAGACCCAAACAGGAAAAGCCTGCAGAGTACAGGAGGACAACCCTGCCACTTTGACCTTCCCCATCACTTCAAACTCAGAGCAGTGGGGCAGCAAGGAGAACAGATAAAGCAAGGGACCAACAATTCCAGGAACACTGTTGGTGCATGCACTAGTGCTAGCATCTGTAACACGTGGCTGTGCCCAGAGCCCTCCTGCTACCAGCTAGCTTTTCCCTTTTCCACATCAAAAGCATCAGTAACCCCACCTTTTCTCTTCTCTGCTTTGTTTTACCACCAATTATTTAAGCCGGTGAGATTCTTTTCTCCTTGAAATGACCCATGCAGAGGAAAGGACTACACAAGACTAAAATTACATGTATTGCCTATTAACTGAGGCCAAATAACGGCAGCACAGGACGGGATGAAAATGTTCTGCACACCTGCCAAACTCTCCAGACATGCACTGACATCGGCCCCGATGAGGTAAGCCTGCACCTCAGCAAGAGCTCCTCTCCCAGCACTACCAGCTGCCCTGCCTGGCCACAGGCAGCCACCTGCAAGTCTGCTACTTGACTTTGCTAATCTAACACTATGAACAACAGATATAAAGCAAGACTGTTTTAAAAACAAGTATTATAGGTAATTATAGAAAGGAACATTTTTGTAAGCCATGCTTTAAATAAGTGATTTTAAAAAGAATATAGTTATTTTGCTTTGCTCTGTTCTTAGTTTCTTAGTATTAAACACCAGAAAGTTTCCTAAATCCTGACATAATGTAAGGACAACAGTTCATGTAATCAGTTCTGAAAAAAATTTGTCAGTTATATAACTGACTTTTTTTTTAAAGTAGTTGGGATTGAACCTAGGGCCTCACACTATGCACACATTCCACCATTGAACTACAACTCCAGCCCCTTCTGTTTTTATTTTGGAACACTAAGTTGCCCAGCCTGATCTGATTTTCCTGCCTCAGCCTCCTGAGTAGCTTGAAATACAGGTGTTTACAAATGCCAATCTGCTAATGATTCTGAAATGGCAAATAAAAATCCAAAATGGTGATCAGACAATGGCTCCTACTGTGTAAAAGCACTGATATAACTGAGAAACAGGAAGCACTTATTTCTGGACTACAGTGGGTATTCAGCATCAGTAACCTGGATTAACATCAGCCAGGAGAAATCCAAAGCCCATATTTCTAATGCAGTTACCTATAGAAATTTGAAAAAATCTAGCAAGTTTATGGGAGGGGGAGTGTCATTAAATCTGAAGAAAAGCTACACCACGTCATCCCTATTCAATGAAGAGGACAGGCATAGTGTGCCTAGTAACAATCCTAATGGTTGGGTGCAATGATTGCTATGGCCAAAGGTTTTTAACAGAAAGTCAGAAAAATCCCAAAATAACTCTAAGTTGCCACCTCAATGTTCTAAACAGTTCCAGAACTGCAGCATATTAGCAAATAGCTATCTAGAAATACAACAGAAAAAATTCTAGCTAAGTAATTTTATGACAATCTAATATCAAGGTTTAAACATACAACTATAATAATACATACTGAACATTTACATTCAAATGTACACAACATGACCCATTTAGTCTTAAAATTACTATGTGACAAAACTGTGGAGATGAGCCCACACATGAGCAAGCCAGTGTGCTCTATCACCACAGTGACAGCTACAGGAAGTGGACCACTGTAAACACACATTCGACAAACCAGAGCACTGTGTAGAATTCAGCCGCTTTTGTATGTCATATGGTAACTTTTATCAGCAGACACAGTAGAGGCAAACGAATTCTTAGGACATTACTTAAAAATAAATTTTAAAGTTGAAAGTTCCAACCATCTTTATATACACACGCAAAGTTGATCTGTCACAGACAGCAAATGTTAAGATACACTGGAGTTTCCAGCAGCAGCCTGCACATTTAAAATTTATGATTATAATGCACACAGAGAGTGCTATTGAGTCTGTCTGAGATGGACATTCAAATCTGCACGGGACAGAGCTTCCCCGGTGCCTGTGAACTTACTGCTGCTTCTCAAAGGCAAAGACCAAATAAATACCTGAGGAAGAAACAGGAAAGTCAGGTTAGCTTCTCATATCCTCAGAGTAACAATACAACAAACTCAGTCCTGTTCATAGCTTAGAGAATACACTTAGGCTTTCAAGCAGCTTTTGAGGAAAAAGCACTTTATTAATTTTAAGAGTTCTATTATTTAAGTCATAGTAGGCAGCTTTGGAATCATTTATGTTTACTTCAAAACAGTATCAACCTATTATAAAAAGAGAAAATACAGGTCATGGAAAAGCCAACTCAGCAGCCCTAACAAACTCTAAAAATGCCTTAACATAAGACAACCTAAAAGTATAAAAACAAAGAAAACTAAAAAGCCTGACATGACTCAAATCTTTTTACCTGGCACAAGGTAGGTAGAATAATTACATAATAAGCAGCAATAATTTTTCTATTAAAAAACTTTTAAAACTAATAATGTTTTTAACTTATATAGGGTATACACAATGTAAAACTAGTGAGAGGAAATACAAAAACATAACAAGACACAGCAAAATCTACCCAGTTACCTCGCTGCTGTGCTGCAGAACCTAGCAAGGAAAGAGAGTTGTAAGGCACACAGCAAAAGATGCTCAGAGAACCCAACCACCTGGCCCTGCAGTGACATTTTTGCAAGTACCCAGTCCTAACAATATTCCCTACACATTCACATACAGATCAGAAACATGATTTCCTGTGCACATCATGCAAAGTCTACCCTGCCACATCTATTAAGATACCCACAGACTGCATGGCAAAAAACTTCCTCAAAAGGTGACTAACCCTGAAAACATTACCAGCTGTTTGGGGCACAGAGTAGGATATTCAGTAGCAATCAAAACAAAGGCCATATAAGTTGAGCTGTCTTTGAAGGCGGGACAGATAGATGAAGGCCTGAGACAGGTTCCAGAGCTTTCACTCTTCCAATGAACCCAGACAGCAGTGCTGTCCTAGCCTCATGAGAAATTTCTTGGCTACTCCTTATTGACTAGTGTCACTCTTGCAGTAACTGTGGCTGTCAGCACAGGCCAATACACAAGAGCAAGCAGAGAGCTCATAAGCTCTAAAACTGCAGACTCCTCACCTCAGCTCCAACCCAATACCTTCTGGCAGTGCCACCCTGCTCATGCCAGAGACATCCAAAGCCACTTGCAAACCAGCCCTCAGCATCCTTTGCCTAACATAAAGTCTCTCACCTTACTCTAACATAAGCTGGAGTCTGATTTGGGATGCACAATTAGTAACTCTAACTCCTAAAAGTCCCGCTCATAGCAAGGACTTTCATGAGGTCATATAGAACAGTTGCCCTGGGCTGCTCACAAGGTCCTCTTGCTGCTCCCTCACCTATGGGAGGGACATATGATGACCATAAACTGTGTGTTCAGGAAGTACTGCGAGGCCATTGTGAGTCGAAGAGGCCAGCTCCAGCAACACCAGCAAGTGGCCGCTATCAGTCACTTAGCTGCTATCAGCTAAGGTGTTATGCTGAGACCTCATTCTCTCCATCACACTCTCTACACATTTTTCCCATTACAATAACTATAGCACTTATGAGGTTTGCCTGGAGTACACTTTACTAGTGCCTATTTCTTCCACTGAACTGTGCAAGGCAAAGATTTGTTTTTTCTTTTATCCTCTGAAGTTTGTTTCATGTCAACATAAGCCATAAACACTTCACTGTGGAAGGGATGGGGAATGGATGGAAACATGCAGACAGAGGAGCCTTAGGCACCCAATGGGGACTGTGGCCCTGCTGAGGGAGTCTCCGCTGGGCCCCACCAGGTCTCAGGCTCTCCAAGGCATCTCCGCATCTTGTTTGTTTGCACCTCTCGCTGTTGCCTTACATCCAGCACTGTACGTTCACATCAGCATCAGCACAACCAGGATTAGGAAACAGCAGGTTTCATACAAGCCACTGAGTCCAGTGGAATTCCAAGGCAGACACCAGATGAAGAGCATTCAGGACATGCAGGCAATAAACATGTTATACATGCTCCTGAGCCACAGTTACATGGTTTCCTCATTACCACACTGAGCAAAAAAGGGGATTAGACTCACAGGGCAGGCACTGGCACACAGTACCCAAAAACGCACAAACTGAAACATGCCACAGAAACTCTGTAACCCTCTAGAGCTGTCAGTTAACCTGCATTGGTGGTACACAGACAGACAGACAGATATACTCACTTGTAGCTTCCCATTCTGATTTACTTAGAGTTCCCTGAAATTAGGAAAAGAAAGAAAATGTTAAGATTCAATATGGAAATAACTATATGCTTGTGAATTGAAGTGGCCAAAACTCCTTAGCTTCTTCGAACATATACACAATTTACTCAACAGAATTATGATCTGAGGCTAACTGAATGCCACCTTTTCACTAGTATGCCCTCTTGAGAGGGAGTGTGCATATAAAGACAGTGAGAATGAGCGAGAGACAGAAGGGAGGATGAAGACTGAAAAAGGCATCCAAGTTAAATTTTTAGCTTGGAAAATGAATAAAAGCCTATATTGACTCAACAAATAGCACTAGAGGAGGGAATAACATTCTCATGTTTTTCTGAACAAGCCACAAGGTCAATACATGATACAAAGGAAATTATATTAAACATGTCAACACAGTAACATATGCAGGTGCTATCAACATGACAAGACCCAGTGGCAGTTCTAGAAACTAAACAATCTGAAGTAACAAATGTGAGCACTGTTCTAGGACGTCAGCAGCCATGTGCCATGAGAATACCCACAATATCTACTGATGACAAGGCTGAGCTACAGCAGACATCAGGCATGTTTACATCATGATTTTTCAAAAGGTGATTCACGAAGAAGTTAGTGAAAAAGAAGTCCCTTTCCCATTTAAGTGCACAAAACTCTGAATTGTTTCTTGGAATACTAAGTCAGCAGTGCTCAGGAGAGCAGGGACGCTTGCCACAAAGCCTCTGGCCTTCCTCTATCCCCACCTCTCCAGGCACAGCACTCTTCTCTTGGCTCTGGGAAACAAACTACTTCTATACATATTGGTATCAAGTCATCAACTTAGGGGAAACAGACTATTGTATATTTGATTTGAAATTCAGAGAGCACAAGTATTATAAACAAGTGCAGTAATTTCCTAAATCTCCATATAACATGCTTTTCCCCACTCCCAATGAAGTACTTGTGAAAATGAGAACTCACTAGTGGTAACCTCACTTGACTGTTCTTCATGTATGCTGCTGCATGTTCGTAGTCACCTGCCTTCTCAGAGGTAAGTTTAGAGTTCTCGTTTGCAGGGTACGGCTTGGAAAGAAAACAAAATTCCCATTAAAGGGACTGTGTTAAGTTGAAATTTACAATTTAGAACTTAACACCATAAATCACTGAAATAAAAAAAGAATCCCTAAAAATTACTTGAAGACTACAAGCTACACACATTTTTGAAATATGAAAAAAAAAAAAAGGCAAGTGTAAGAATTATCTTTTAAAGTAGCTATTGCAGTTAGCTTTTATCACCATCTTGGAACACATACAACAAAAGTAAACTGTGATTTAATTCACAACCAAAGGTGGTCATTCGGCAGCATATAGCTGGTATCCTCTTTGCTGAAGGTCAAGAGCTGATTCTGTTATACTACAAGGCTTAAAAAAGGTATTAGTTAAGAGCTAAGTATTAACATGACAGGAACTCAGTAGCCATATAAGTGGCAATCAGAAATAATCAAAAAATCAACAGAGAAACTCATTTAAGACAATAAAAGATGTGAGTTCAGGGAAAATAATTTAAAAATCTATTGTTTCAAATTTGGTGGTATATTAATCCCATTTAGGTATTTTCTCTTTGTCTTATGAAATATTTTCCCTAATACATGTAACTTGAAACAGAAGTCACATAAAATATTCGCCATACCACCATCTTGCCTACAAAGGGTATACATTCTTTATAATACCGTCACCTTATTGTGGCAAACCAGGTAGCAAGGAACCACTCTGAAACTTTGGTTTCCTTAAAGAACTTTTAAGGGACAGACCCACAAATGCCTACTTGTCTACTGTCCCTTTCTTCGTAAATACCCATACCATATTCATGCATTAGCAATCAAGGTATTTATTTGATATTTTAAAAGTACTGAATGATTTGGAACTTTCACATAGTTAGCATTAGCAACTTTTACTTTTTATTACCTTACCTCTTAAGGGATAAAAAAACCAGTAATAGCTAAGTTTTCTAATAATTTAATCTCACAGTTGTAGTTCCACCATATTACAAAGCTTTGAGATTTTATTTTGAATGGCTGTCAAAACTATTCTACTAAAAACCTGTTTAGCTGCCTGCCAGTGAACATTTCTTGCTTCTCCTCCACTGATCATTTATTTTGAAAGATCAACCAATACATGACTATGTACAGCTATAAAACTGACTGTTTTCAAAAAGTATGTATACATTTCAAAATGTATACTAAAATGTACACAGACTGGTATGTACTGTCAATGGATTTGTTGATCCAGAACTGTGTCTTTGTGGCCCTGAAATACAATCTTATTTGGGCCTCAGTGCCCATGTAGAAGTCATAAAAATTAATACTCTGCCTACTTCACAGAATATTCAGGACAATAAGACAGGGTACACTTAAAGTACTGATGCGAATATTCCAAATCCAACACTCTGAAATTTGATGCTAACCTGAGGGGTATCCAACTCTGATCAGTAACAAACACATGAGCTGGGATACTTTAGATCTGTCTGAGTAAGTATGCATGGTAAAGGAGAAAAGTAATCTACATTGTGTGCTGCAAGCCCTTGCTGTGCAGGGCTCCAAGGGGAGAGCAGGTCTCAGTACTATACTCCAGAGGACTAAAGTCTGGGCCATCATCAAGGAATAGTTACACGTGGTTGACCTTGGTGTGGACACTGGTCAGAAAGGTTCTAACCTACAGATGTACTTGGTAGGTAAGTTGTTCTTAACTAGGGGTGTTCTTAACTAGGGGTGACTGATTCAGCAGCAGACATGTACCCATGGCTGTCACAATTGAGGCATGGGATGGTGCAAGGCCAGAAACAATAGAGCTGCATCTTCCCAGCCCTATAGTCAGTGACAGGGAAAATCTATTCTAAAGCAACTCAACTCAGAAAACAGAACTGGATTACTGCATCACTCATCCAACAGGTATTTACCAAGCACAAGCCATGGAAATTTCTGTCTGGCTCTTTTTAGGAGCCGAAGAGTACACAGTAGTTACCATACTATGTAATATACTTATAAGTAAACAGCCTTGGAAGGACCTCAATAACAGTTAAATAAGTTCACTGTGACTTGGAATTTTTATAAGTTTTCTAAGTACTTACCTCTAGGGCCTGCATTCGTTTTAACAACATTTTATTTTCATTGTTCTTAATCTTTTCTTCAAAGAATTCCATAAATGTTTTTCTGTAGATTAGTTTCATATTATACTTCTTCACCATTCTGTCCAAAAAAATTACACAGTGAAATGACTACCAAAACAGCTGTAATGCCTCAATAGCTTACTTTGCTGTAAAAACAGTGACATCTTCTGGACTTAACTAAGAAAGCCACCATTTCCTTCATAAACTGACCACAAAGAAATGCAAAATTAAGAGTAACTACATTTATAAAGACACATGCATTCTAAATCTCAGGGGCAGGGTATGCTTAAAGTACTGATGAGAACACTCTAAATCAAACAAACACTCTGAAATGTGATGCTAACCTGAGGCGTATAATTCTTTACCCGATTCTGATCAGTAACAAACACATGGGTTGGGTATTTTACACCTGTGTGATTAAGCATTGCTATGAATAGCTCGCTCCATGTACCACACAGATGGAAAGTATAATGAGAGCCAACCTGGGGGAATGTAAGATGGAGTAAGGTTGAGGGAGTATTTTCAGACTGATTCCATGCTATTCTACTGTAGCCCCCACAGCTGCAACAAAACAGCTGCCAACTTCCTTCTTAGAAGGTTCACTTTTATCTTTTATAGTCTCTTAATTTTTATTACATCTTGGGCTCCTTCTCTGCAGGCTTTTGTTTTATTAACTTCTAAATCTCAGGGTTTGAAGAGGTGGGTCTGGAGTAGTCTTTATCAACCTTGCCTGGGAGGTCTGCTCTCTTGTCGCTTCCATTTACTCCACTACTTATCAGACCTCTCCTTTGTGTGTGTTCCAGACATTCTTTACCTTCTCATGTCTAAGACTGAACCTCACAAGACTCTTTCTGCCACTGTTCATTACTGCAGTAAACCTACCTGTCTCATGCTCACAAGCCCACATCACACCAAGTTCTCTAAAAGAGATTCACTTCCAACTCTGTTACCACTCTATTCCAATGACCACCACCATCTGGCTAGCTGTGCCTCCAGGAACCTCTTCGTTTGTCCCCTGCCTTCCAGTATTTACGTCCCTCAAAAAATATCCCAATTGCAGTGGGATTAAGCTTCCAAAAATGCAGATGCAGTCAATGTGACAACCCACCCTGAATACCCTTCATCGGGCTCCAACAAACCTAGGACATGATTCAAAAACTCTGAATGTAGCATTTGCAAGGGATTCTGCTGCCGCTTGTGCTGCCTGGTTCCTGGTTCCCTAATACGCACCCACAAGCCTTCCCACTATGGGGCTTCACACACCACCCATTACCACTGTCCATCTTTTGTACATCCTGACTGATATATCACATTTCTCCACCACCTTTCTTCCTTAAAACTCTCACTGCAGTAGCTCTCCCATTACCTTAAGGTTGACTTTCCCCACTGCATTTGCCAAATGAATAATTATGGTCTGCTGACCACAATTAGAAAGCCAGGAAATGATTTCAGGAAGCAGGGAAAGGGTGTGGCAGAGGAAGAGAACGATCTTCACAAGGCAAGGGAGGGCTTGTGTATAAGGCACATGTGAGTTGTGTGGCTGGTGTGCAAAGAACAAAGAACAAAAGAAAGGCAGGGCTGCCACCTTACCCAGTCCTCCATGAAGGACAGTAAGAGCAAAGCTCAGTCCCTCTACTCCGGATAGCTCCAAAACAGCCTTCAGATTTAAAACTAAGTTTGATAATGTAAAAATATTGCAATTACAAGAAACCCAAGCTGAACTATCAGGATAGATTCTACAATAATACCTAATTAAATTTTTGTTCAGTCTTAATGAAAAGGCAAAAGAGCCTTTATACACTTTCTGATTCTCTCACCAAATATTCACTTTCATGAATAATTTTCCTCAAAACATATTTTTTTAAATCAGACATTAATGTCGACTTGTATCTTTATAAATTTATCATGAGATGATGTAAAAAGATTCCTAAGCCTTCTTAGCATTTTTTTTTTTTTTTTACGGGTATCAGGGATTGAACTTGCGACCACCTGCTTGCAAGGGAGGCGCTTATGCCACTGAGCTAAATCCCTAGCCCCACCTGCTTAGCATTTTAAAAATATCTAATTTCTTTGGATTTTCTAAAACCAACTACATAAATCAAAAACAAAAATGCTAACATGAAATATATGAAAAACATTTAATTTCTGCTTTTATACAGCTGAAAAGTAGTAACATTTTTCTAACTTGTGAATTTTAATAAAATTAAAATATATTTAATTTATAATAGCATACACTTATAACATTATGCATTACTTTTCTTATGTCCAGTCACAATGTTACCTACCTTTCTTATATTACCATTTGAAATTTTTACAATTAGTATGAAACTAAAAATTCTACATCCATAATTTTATAAGCAGAGTCCTAATTCAAACCATCACCAATCAAAACTAAACCATAATAAAGTTTTGGTTCTTCTCATTCAATATTCAAAGTAAGATTTTTGTTTTTAAAAAGTAGCAAGTTATGCATGATCAGCTCTGATGAGGCCTCCATTAAAGCTGACTCTAGTTTTCTTCCAAGTAAGTAGGGAAACCCCAAGGCGAGGAAATATTATAAGGCCTTGCAGCATTATGGGATAAATATAAAGCCCAGTACCACAACTCTTCCTGTGTCTACTTTTCCAGGAGTCCTAGGAATTCAGAAGTAGGGGGGAATACAGTCCTGAACCATACTTTTTTAAAAATCAACACTGCTTGACAGACCATTCAAAGTTACAACTGAAAAGGAAACTTTTGACACCTACCTCTATCATAAAAGGAGGACCTTTGATTTATAAAGACTCACTTCACACTACCAAAGTTGTAACAGTCACTTAAACAAAAGCTTTTGCTGTATGTAAGGTTTAGTATTTCCTCCCACAAAGGAAAGGCAACTGGCTTGTTTCTTATCTATAGGATGAAATAATTTCCAGAAATGAAAGAAAACTAAGCAAGATTCTCAGAGACTCATGGCACCAATGGTGGTCCTGAGGCTACAATATTTTCTTACACATTTAGATTTCTTACAGTGCCATTTAAAATATGAATGAGTAGAAATAATGATTCGCCTTTTCCCTTTTCTTACAAAACGAAAAAGAAAAAACAGTAACAGATTAATGACATTCTTACTGAGTTAGCAATGGAAAATAGACCAAGAATTCAGGGACATCCACAACACCTTCCAAGTTGAAGTCATATTTGCAGCCGAATAAAGGGTAATCTCCTTTCTTATGAAATTTCACAGTATATATTTCGTTTCCAAATGATTCTGTTTCTGAAGCTTCAAGACGTCTTCTATAAGGGTAGCCCCCGACCAAAATAAGAAAGATTAAAGTGATTAAAGTACTCAACTTGATGAGATTATGCATGTTGAAAATGTACATGATACAATTTATGAAATACACTTTTATTAGTTTTTTAATTGTATTCAAGCTACTTTTCAGCAGAAATATACTAAAATATCACTAATGATCTTACCAAAAAGTTAGACTGGTTAAAGTCTCTGGTCCTCAATAATGATTGGTAATTTGTCTACTATAATTACCTCTGGTTCAGCATAACTTCAATCTCCAAATTACATGTAAGATTTTAAAAAGTGATCTTAGATCTTTGAGCATATACTCAAATACAGTACATTAAGTGCTCAAGAAAGACTAGTGTGTTTTATGAACTTTTGTGACAAACATTTGTTACTCAGTACTGTATATTTGGTAAACCACATACATTTAAAAGTACTTACATCAGTTCAAAACTATTGGGAGTGGTACCGATAAAGTAGCCTCCAGGGCTGAGTCTCTCACAAGCATTTCTGAGCATCATGTCAGCCTGCTCAGCAGACTCAAAGGAGTAATGACAGACAAACTGACAACTGCAGATGTCAAAACACATTTCTGGGTCACAAAATTTATCAACTAAAAGTTCCTGAAACAAATTAAAATGGATTAATATTCTGAAGCAATTATAACACAGATGAAAAGCTTTTTGGTACATGAATTCCTAGAATTTATAATTCTTAAAAGTAGATAAGCCATGCCATCAACCAGTCCTTAACATGACAGTCTTCAGCTCTCCTTTCCTTTGCTATGTATGAGCAGTGCAATGAAATAATTTTTACTCTAGCTCAAAAAATATTTGATTCCTATTTGCATGGTACCTTACAGATCCAGGGATTTTGAAATCAATGTCTAACAAACAACCATCAGATATAACATTTAACATTGATCCATTTGACACTGGACTCTTAAAGAAATAAAAATGTTTAAAGGTTTTCATATCTTTCTTTTCTTTTTTTTTTTTTTTGTTTTTTGTTTTTTGTTTTTTTAAGACAAGATTTCACTATGCAGTTCAAGCTAGCCTTGAATTCACTTTGTAACTCAGGCTGGCCTCAAACTCACAGCAATTCTCCTGTCTCAGCCTCCTAAGTGCTGAGATTATAGGCCTGTGCCACTACACCTGGCTATGTTTTCAACTTTCTAACAATATTTTACATTTCTTTTTCATTTTCAAAACAGCAAGCAAAATGTGTACAATTGACTAAAAGTATCTACAATTTTAAGTAAGCTAGCAGATCAGACAATGCTCATCAAGTTCACCATCGCATTCAAGTAGTCCTTCAATTCCAGTTAAATTCAAAAATGGATTGTCGCTCAACAAGCTAATGCCTGCCTAACATGTACAAAGGCCCAGGTCTGATCCTCAGACACATGTGTGCTCGTGTGCATCCTCACCCACACAGTTCAGAAACAGACTGAAGGTGGAAAAAGCAAAAGGATTTCAATGTTGGAAATTTTATTAATTTTATTAATATTATTATCTACATGGTAAACAAAACATTATTAAGTTGTTCTATTTCAAAACACAGTCAGTCATTAGTAGCCTCAGGCACTGCATCAATGAGTTCAAACAATTGCATGTTGAAAATATAAGGAAAAAGAGACAATGTCAGCACAGACATTTTCCTTGTCATTACTCCACAAAGAATACAGTCAACATGGCACCAACACTATAGCAGTACTGTAAGTAAGTATGCACACTGCACACTGGAGAGTGTGTACCTGTTACCTATAAACATTGTATTATATCATTTATATGAGGGACTTGAGCTCCTTTGGAGTTTGGTATCCGTGGGGATCTGGAGTCAATCCCTGCAAATTCTGAAGGACGACTATGCTAGAAAATAAATCTTATTCAAACCAAAAAGCAACAAAGTGATTTGAACCACTCAAATTATTAAAAGCAAATTCCCAGAAGTATGCACTGGGTTGCTGACGGAGACCTATGATAAAAGAATTTCCAGTTGAAACTGAAAATGCATGTCCGAAGCTTTTTAATGTTTCAAAGCACATTTTAACAAATAGTTGATTTTTTTAAAAAATTCCTGTACCTTTGAAGAGTCAGCAGTTATAAATTCTGCATGAAAAAGATACTCATTATCACGACGATTTTTCATGTCCTCATACCGCTGCTGACACTGCTTGACAGAAATGTCGGCGATATCTGAAAATGGGAGAAGTGTGTCATGCTCAGCCCCCAGAAGACTTGCTATAAGATATTCCAGCATTGTGATGGTAAAGAAACCCTTATTTCCTATTCACATAATTGGTCACAAATTATTCTTTCCAATACCGGTATTTATCTTACCAGTACAAACTAGCTTGCTAATTCTTCCTTTTCTCCACTTCAGCAAATCTCCACCTTTACCACATCCCAGGTCCAAAACAGTGATATCACGGGTTTTTTTCTGTCGTACCTTTTCTAAAAATTCCCCTAAAAGAGAAAAATCAATCACAATCAATTAACTATTGTTCATCTTTAGTAAAGCACAAATGGCTACCTTTAACAACTTTCTAACCTCCACATATAACATAAATTATTATGTTTATATATTTTGAAACTTGCTGTTTCAAAATACTATATAAATAAGTTCATCATGTATCATTAACATGTTTCCACAGACTTAAGTCACTGATAGTATAGGTATGACCGCACAACTTCTACAACCAGTGGTATAAACCATTTGATGGTACAGTCATAAATGTACCACCAGTGGTTCAATCAGCCTGGCAGCAAGATATATGAATTATAGTTCCATTGTGAATGTGTTAAAAGATAGAAGAGTATATGGTGTATTATAAAGTTAAGACAGCTTTTTGAAGGTTACTTCCAGAATTAAGAATTGAAGATGTTTCAAATTCTAATTAAAATATAGACTAATGCTTCTGATAAAAAAAGTGAAAAACAATTGTTTTTGTTAACTTACTCTTTACATAGCTAGACATTTAATTTCTTATATATCTAAGTAAACTGAAGCAGTTTTGGAATGTTAACAGTGCTTGGTTAGGCTTACTCCCAAACACATACACAAGTCCACAGCTATCTTTTATTTTCACCATCATCAAAATTCTTAAAACATTCTAATCTACCAAATCACATCAATATTCAACAGATAAAATCACAGGTCTCCAGATAGCAGCAGCCAAATAGTTCAAATATCAGTTAAAGACTTAACATTCTAAGACAAAGATAATTTAGCAAGTCTAAAACTATGTATTTATAGAGTAAAGAATCCTAGATCTACACTCCTTGACTATATCACTCTAAGTTTAACAGTTATTCGTTCATGTGTATAAATTTTGATGGTTAAAATACTTTGTACAAATTCTGCCTTCAATGTCGGTTAAGATCTGAAGTAACTCCAACAGAAGTTCCACATTTAACTTTTTGTCAAAAATTTTAATAGCATAAAAACTAAAACTGTGAAAAATACTAATAAAATATTTCTATAAAGTATGACTAAACAAGGAAAAAATCATCATGAAGCATTATTTTCAAAAAAAAATGTCATCACACTTAGATGAAATATTCTCAGTTACTACTAAGCTGTGAGCACCAAGATGAAAGAAAATGAAAGACAAGGAATTTGCTGAGGAGAGAGAGGAAAAGACAAACGGAGGAGCATGGCATAGAACACACTGACAGCACTGGGACCAGAAAGGCAGGTAACAAAGCATTCACTGAGTTATGGAACACTGAAGAAGACAGTATCAAATGACGGAGAGAATTCTGCCAAATGTCATCTTGAAAACCAATTTTCCTAATTACAAAAATAACATGTGAAATGGACTAAAAAACCCTCAACTTGGGGCTGGGGATTTAGCTCAGCGGCATAATCGCCTGCCTTGCAAGCAGGCAGTCGTGAGTTCAATCCCTGGTACCGATAAAAACGAAAAAGAAAAAAAAAAAAAATTCTTCGATCAAGTCGAAGGAAAATCCAAAATTAAAAAAAAAATCTGAAAAAAAAAAAAAAAAAAAAAACCCTCAACTTAAAAACAGAAATAAATGATAATTATGAAAACTCCAATGATCTGCTTCAAATGAGAATAGTAAGGAAAACAGAGAAAAGTGGAAAAGAAATTAGGGCTAGGATGCACAGAAAACCTTAAGAGTAGAGGTTGAAAACTGCATAATACTAGTATTAATCTTTAAAAAAAAAAAAGGCAGCTACTCATTTACTTTTTAATTTTCTTTTTTTTTTTTTCTTTTTTTATCGGTACTGGGGATCAAACTCACGACAGCCTGCTTGCAAGACAGGTGCTTACACCACTGAGCTAAATCTCCAGGTAACAACTGGCAGAATCTCACAAATCATGTTTTAACATGAATGCTAAAACAAAAGTGAGAAAGAAAACACAAAATGTGTTTGAATTTAGTTCTTCTAATACTTCTCAGAATGCATCATTTTTTTTTGAAAATCACTAAATTGTCATCAAAACTAATACTAAAAGTTAGCACTTTATTCTTTCTAGTACATATAATTAAGCATATTTACTTAATGCACTAGATATACAAAGCAATAATTATATTCTAAGTCCTATTTTCTCCACTCACTTCCTTTTAACATCAAAGGGGATGTCCACTCCAAAAAGCTGAATGTCTTCATCAATCCTCAAAGTAAACGCTATTTCTCTCAAGAAACCACGTGAGAAGAGCAAGCTCAGTGGACCATTAATGCTAAATCACTAAAAGCCTAGAGATAAAATCATGACACTGCCCATTTTCTTGACTAAATCAAACTTGAATGTTGGATCCAACAAAATGCTATTGTGCAGAAACAGTGAAATAATTACTTAACAGCTCTAAATAACCTTAATTCTAACTCAAAAGAAGCATACCACCTTTGAAAGTCTCACTAGTATCAATTACACACTCATTAACATCCTATAAGTCAACCAAAGCAAGCAGTAAAAGGCCTAATTTTGGTTCATTTTATAAAGTCAAGACTTAATCACCAAATCAGTAAGAATTAATAGATATAATAACTTGATATATGGTTAATATTGAGGAGGAAAAAAATGAATAAATGAAAGCTAAGGTCTAAGGATATAGATCAGTGGCAGAGTGCTTGTCTACCATTGACAAGGCCCTAGGTGTAACCCTCAGCACTACACACACAAAGTAACTGATCAAATAAATTTTAAAACTCCATAGAAGATAAAAACTAATCATACCAATAAGCACACTTTTAATCCAATTATTGAAGTTTCTTAGGTAAAAAATACGACTTTGACTACGCTTCTCCAAACCAACTTCCTGAAGTTCATTGTAGTGGGCAGCCACTGCAGAACTATGTCCTTCTTCCAGTTTCTGGAAATAAAAAGAGAACTAAGGATCAAGGAAAAAAAAAAAAAAAAAAGTCCCAGAGAATATGACCTACAAAAGCATAATACACTACTGAAGTAAACAGCATTCCCAGAGATCCTATAATTACCAAACCAAAGATCTGTTTCCTAATATTCCCCATTAAAAACAGTCCAGATTTAAAATTTATATATTAATCTTTCATCTGTATAATTTTAGTCTGTCTTACTTAATAAAACTACTCTCCCAGAGTTCTGATTTGTTCCATTTAATAAATGATAATCAGTAAAGGGACTTCTTATAAAGGAAGAAAACACAAATATGTTACCACATTTATTATTATAGAACTGCAGGGCCCGAGATAATAGCTCAAGTGGCACAAGCGCCTGCCTGGCAAACCCAAGGTCCTGAGTTCGATTCCCAGTACAAAAAAAAAAAAAACCTGCTATGAGGATTAAGTAAAACAAACCAGGTATGGTGACGCACACCTGTAATCCTTGCTACTTGGGAGCAGAAGTTAAAGCAGAAGGGTCAAAAATTTGAGGCCAACTTAAGACTCTCTAATAAAAGTGAATGAATGAACACACAAAGCTGAGGATGCAGTTCAGCAGTCACTGAGTTACTTCCCAGTACTGTCAAAAAAATAACAATACATATAAAGGAATTAGATTTTAGTAGTCTGTGCTCTATGTCAGTGACTTCTATTATAGGCTATTTATTTAACCCAACAATTTTCAATCTTCATTCTGTACAACTCTAGGTATTCTATAAAAAGTCCATGGTACATAGCCCCCACCCCCCACTTCCCTTTTCAATCAAAGTGTCTTATCTTTTCTGCATTGCACAGTTCAGGTTTAAGAGTAAGACTTTAAATTTTTAAAACTATATTTCAAAGCTCCCCTTTGCTATGAGGACAACAATGACAAAAGCCTGGCCTACCTGCCACTTTCTTCTTCAGAGTTCATGGCAAAATTTTACTTAGTCTGTTACACCAACTCCAGATTTTGCCTCAGAAACATTTCCATTGTGGTACATGATTTGCTATCCTTGTTTCATAATTTCCCTGCTAAATATCAGGCGTTGACGTCCACTTATCTAAAACTATGTTAACTATACTAGTAAGGTAGAAACAATGATAGTTTAATTCAATTAACCCACAAAGCTGGGTATGATTTTGAAATTTATCTGCTCAAGTGATCATAAGTACTTCAGAAAAAAAAGAGATGAACAATTTAAAAAAGGGTAAAGCATTTGTACCTCATATTCCTGTTTTTTTTTTTTAACATAAAGAAAAAACAAATTATAAAAACTGATTTTCATGTTTCTGGTCAAAGAAGAGTTGTGAAATAAAATATTTATCTCATTAGCACAAGTTTTTACCTTAATAAGAATTAAAATCTAAGAGTAAAAGCCTACTGTATCTTATAGCCATATGTGTTAAAAACAAAACATTCTACCCAGTTAAATAATATAAAAACCTAGTAATTCCACAGCTCTTCTACATTTCTAGCTGATATAGTATATTACAAGTAAAATACATTCAACATACTTTCTGCTTTTCAGGAACATCATCAAGTTCTAGTTTTCTCTTTTTCTGAGTGCTATCTCCAATAGAAGGAACACCATCAGTTTCCATTTTTCTTTTCTTTGAAAAGCTATCAGCATCACCTGAACCTTTTTCCTCTGGGACAATTTCAATACCAAGATTTCTTTTCTTAGACGGAGGATCTTCTCCACAACTGGAACTTTCCTCTACATGACTATCCTCAAACTTTTTCTTCTTTCTTGCTATGTCCACTTGCTCACAGACAGGAGTCTTTTCTGAAAGCCCAGTCCCAGAAGCTGTTGACGTTTCATTAATATTGAGTGAAGACTTTGTTTCACAATCTACTGATGCTTTCACCTCTTCAAAAGACAACTTTTCACATTCCTCTGATTTTGTAGAATTTTCCATTTCTGATTACTTGAACTGGTGGTAAAACTTCATAAACCCTGGAACAGCAAAAATTTTTACATTACTTATAAACACTAATCCAAAGACTTAAAACCAAATTTAACTAGAAATTATGTATTTAATTTCAGTGATCAACTGGGAGTTTTAAAAAATTTCACTGTAAAGAGTACATTATTAATGTGGATAATGTGAATTTCTGAATATGTAGTAGTGCTAATTATAACTTCTCACCACTTCTATAATCTTATTCACAAAAGTCACTAGGAGGCATTAAAACTGATAAATGAAGTGGATACACACATACAGGTTGAGCATTCCTAATCCCCAAATCCAACATTCTTTGGAATGCGCAACAGATGTACACAATCCATTAGTAAACAATGATGCTTACTCAAGAATTAAACAAGGGCAGATTTAGCTAAGTGGCATAAGTGCCTGCCTGGTAAGCGTGAGATTGGGAGTTTGACATCACAAAAAATAAAAATAAAAATTTAAAAAAGAATTAAGCAAAAACATTACTATTTTCTCTAATTTTTGTGTTTTGATTTTTTATACAGATACAAAATTGCTAGGACAAAAATATTAATACTAAAATACTTCATCATAAAGGAAACATGTATTTCTTTTGCTCTAAAGGGCTAAATGAATCAAGAAAGGAAAAAGAAAATCTACAACAAAAACTTCTGAAATCTTTACTTCATAATAGGTGTTCCAATTAGGTAGAAAGTGAAGGCAGTAGAAATGGCTTTAAACAAGTTCTAAGACTCAGCCTGTGAATGACTCTTAATCCTTTCTCTAATATGTCCGTGGGCCTGTATGTAAAATGGGAGACAAATAACTGAACTACCTATCGGACAGGAATTATTACCGGAGTCTACCTAGTAAGTCATTCAATAAAATGACCGGGCTCATACTACAAAAGAGCTCAAAGTGAATTATGCCTTCAAGAGGCTTACATCCTATAGACTATTAAAATGTTATGCTGTATTATTAAAGTGGAGAAGGAAAAGCAAAATACAGACACACATACACATCTGCGAGCTTCAGTAAATTCAGAACTGAAAGCTATGAAGAGTTTTGTTTAAAAGCCTTTGTGTATAAAGGTAAGCTGCCTAAGAGTTAAAAACAATCCACCAAAACCGGACAATATTTGAAGAGATAGTGGCCTTCAATAACCACCGCTGGAGGCAACAAAATAAGAGGTCCAAATAGGAAGAAATGAATCTTGAGGGGGGGGGGGGGACTAGAAAAGTAACTCTCAGAACAACTCAATTATTAGGAAAACTGGCCACCGAGTTATCAAATATCTGTTTCTCTTCCTTTGTCATTTAGTTCCTAAAAAGAAAAACATTTTACTTCAAATAAAACAATGTAACAATATTATCTTCAGCTGTAATTATCTCTGGCACTTAACTGAATTTTATTTATACAGGCTACTATTCCACGATATATAACACTACAAAAACTGAGCGATCAGAATAAATCACATGGTAGTCCTGATGACTGCAGTGAGGGAGAATGTTTAAAACTGAATGTGCAACAGCTGACTGCGAGAGCGCTTGCCTGCCACCAGCAAGGCCCAGGCTTGGCCCTCCAGCACCGCCCAAAAAAAAAAAAAAAAAAAAAAAAAAAAAAAAAAAAAAACGAGTAATTAAAATACTCCAAATGGAAGAGCGGTCTCCCGAAAATCCTCGAGGTCTGAGGCTGGCTACTATGCAAACAGACCCACAGTCATTGACCACTTGGACACTGAGGCAGGTTTTCCACGCCCGCCTTGGACGCCAGCAGGTCTCTGCGTCTCTGGTTCCCTCGCTGAGACCCTCAGGCCCACGTCTCCCGCGCGGGCCGACTCCTGGAGCTCTGCTCAGGCTTCGAGGAGCCGCTCAAACCCTCCGCGGACCTAGGCCTAGCCACCTCCGAACAGCGTCCATTCAGCTTGGTGGGCGCGCGACCCGAGGCTTCTGAGCGAGACAGCCCAACTCACCAACTAGGCCGCCGCGACTGGTTGGGGAAAAGCCGGACCGCCACCCTCGCGTCTTGTTGTGTCACTTCCGGGACGCGCTCACGTGCTGCTACCCCGACGTAGACGTCACATCCCGCGCGCCGGAACTACGAGTCCCGTGGTGCCTCGCGCGGGCAGCAGGGCGCGGGAGCACGTTGCTGGTGGGCGCGGCTGGCGAGCCGCTACGGTGAGAGCGTGGCTGGGCCGCGAGTGGGTAGAGGGTGTCGCTGCGGGAGGGTTGCCCTTCGTGTTGCGCGGCAGCCGGACATTGGAGAGGTAGAGGGGCCGCGACCTGCGTGGGCGCGGGAAAGCCATAGGGCACCTTCAGCTGTGGCGCACACTGTCTGCGGAGGTCATTATGCGGGCGGACTGGGCCCCTGCTTAGGACAGCTGTCAACTCCGGAACCTCCTTGGGAGCTGGCTGAGGGGACTGCGCTGTGTTCGGAAGCCCTACCATGCCTTCTTCCCAGAAGGCTGTGCTCTCTGCCAGGTTTTGGGAAAAGGGCAGCCTGCACCTGTTCGCGGCAAACACCTCGCGTTGTCTGTGTGGCTGAACTTTGTCACGCAGTGGCTGGAGGGAGCAGTGCACATTCTGTTTGTCCATCACCACAGATTTCCACTGGAAAGTCGGAGGCATTTGCTGTACCGAAACTCTAAAGCTCCCTGGTTCTGGGCTGTCTCCCCTCCATTGGGTCAAACTACCTGTGAATTTAGGTTTATGATGCATGCGTGTGTGTGATCATCGTTGTGCCTCAACACCTCCCCACCTTCAGTGTAAAACCATGACAGATTTATAGTTCATTTTGGAATTAACTTTGTACCAAAATTGATCCTTTAAAAGAATCTTTGAAAAATGTGTTTTATATGCTCGGTTTTTTTTTTTTTTTTTTTTAAGGCACGGTTACAGACTTGTCTTTGGGGAAGGTGACATTTGAAGCATAAACTTCACAGTCTGATCACTTCTAAATTGCGATCAGACTGAGGTTGTGGGCCCTTTGTAATGACTTTGTACCAGTACAAGAGACTACCTTTAACAAATAAGGAAAAGCCATCAATTTCAGATAATTGAATTTGTACTTTTTATAACACGTGATTAGCTAAGCTGAGAATTCAGTTCGTGAGTGACAACTGCAAAGATATATGTAGGTGCTAGACTAAAGGTACTAATCACATGGTCAGAATCACTAGAACTACTGGAATCACTAGAATCACTAGAACCGGGCGGCAAACATTGTCCGTATTTGCTTGTTCTGTTGCTCAAGTTTCTTGAAATAATTGCTATAATTTTAGAGAAAATGGATCTAATTTTGACCTTAAAACTTTTTCTCAGATTATAAGCCTGTTAATTGTGTTTATACAAACTTTATGATGAATTAATGTTGCATATGGGTTATATAGAAATCACATTTTATAGCTTTTGTAGAATTTAACTAGGAGTCTTGTAAAAAATCTGATTTTCTAGAAATTGAATTAAAATAATAACAGTAACAATGTAATACTGTCAATGTGCAAAGCCAAGTGCTTTGCACATTTGTGCTCATTTAGTTCTTGTGTAATCCAGTGAGGTTTGTTTGTTTGGCTTGCTTATTTGTTTTACAGATGAAGAGTAAATAACTTGGCCAAGGTCATGCAATTGATGAGTAGTGGGATGGGGATTTGGACTCAAGCTGCAGAGACCAAAAATCTGCTAATAATGAAACAGTCCCTGTTAGAAGACTGTCTTCAGATCTAGAAGTTGCCTGGGACATACATACTCAAAGATATGTTTTGATGCTACACTATTTTGTTTTGTTTTGTTCTTGTCTTTTTTTTTTTGTCTTTTTCGTTTTTATCGGTAACAGGGATCGAACTCACGACTGCCTGCTTGCAAGGCAGGTGCTTATGCCACTGAGCTAAATCCCCAGCCCCTTGTTCTTGTCTTTTTGAGAGTCTTGCTATGCAGTGCAGGCTGGCCTTGAACTTGTTGTATGCGAAAGTATCAGGCAGGCTTTGATCCTCAGTTCTCTTGCTCAAGCTCCCATTTGCTAGTATCACAGGCAGGTGCCACCATGCCTAGCTTGTTACTTCTTAATTATTATGGTCAGAGGAAAAAATAACTGGATAAGGATGTAAGGATGTTATCTTGCCAAAATATGAGCTCTGCCAAGAGAGGGTCATCATTTTGTTTAGTGATTTAACTTAGGTGCTTGAATACTCCTGGCACTTACTGCGTGAATGAATCTCTAAGAAAGATTTTAAAATCATGGATTTTTTTAAAAAATGACAGATGGAATTTATTTTAAGACATTGATAAACAGCATTTCTCTCAGAGGTGAAGTTTTAAAGTATAATTTCAGTTGTAGAATTGAAGATCATATTTTTGAAACATAAATTTGTTCTTTAAATGGCAGAAACTTCCTAAGAATGATGAGATTTGTTGTTGTTTTGGTATCAGCAATTGAACTCACAATCTCGCTCTTGCTAGGCAGGCACTTATACCACTGAACTAAATCCGTGGCCCCGAATGATGAAGTTTTAAATGGTAGGAACTGCCTAAGAATGATGAAGTTCTGTGGAGGCAGTAAAGAGGTGTCTGTGTCATGTTTGTTCCTCAAAGAGGCCTGAAAGAAGGAGTCTTCCTTTTATTCATTTAAGATTTTTCCATACCAAAATTGTCTCTGTTCAGAGCTGGAAATAGTACAGCTCAGCAGTAGAGTGGTAGTATATGCAAATCCCTGGGTTTGATCCCCAGCCCTGGAAAAAATTCTTTAAAAAGTGTTTCCTAGAGTTAAAAATCATATTTGGTTGAGAAATTTGCAAGTTTACAATGTATCATAATTAATTTTATATGTCAAGTTGGCCAGACTATGCTACATAATTATTTAATCAAATATTAATTGAGGTGTGTCTTAGTTACTTTTTACTCATCGCTGAGACAAAATACCTGATGCACCAAGTTGGAAAAGGAAAGGTTTATTTCTTACAATTTTTGGAGGTTTCAGTCCATACTCAGTTTGCTCCAACCTTCTTCCTGCCATTACGGTTACCTCCTGGCTCCATCCCTATGTGGGTGTGGCACTGACACCATCCAAGCACTAGACAATGAACCAATCACAAATGTACAATTCAAACTCATGAGGCCCAGGGGCCACCGACATAAACCATGACAAGGTGTTACTGTAATGGTACTTTGAAGATGTAGCTAATATCTATACTTGTTTGACTGTCTATGTAGTTCATGCTGGCCTTGAACTCAGTAAGTAGCCCAGGCTGGCCTTGAACTCAGTAGATAGTCCACGGTAGTCTTGAACCTGTAGTAATCCTGCCTTAGCCCCCTGAGTGCTGGGATTACAGGTATGTGCCACCATGCCTGACAACACTCAATTGACTTAAGGAATTTACTCTCAATAACAATCTGTATGTCTGCCTAGATTTAGTTATACTTACGTTTATGCCTATATCTCCCTATCTGTATATCTGCATTGCCATCTGTATCTGGTTTTGCATTCCTGGACCATCACTTTTGCACTGAGAGTTGTTCTAAAAAATCATAAGAATGAATTTTCTGATTGGTCCTATGATATCTGAGATTAGTTCTCTAATCCAAGTACATTTAAAGGCTCCAATGACTATTTCTAGTAATAAAGAGGACATTGATAGTTCTTGGCATGATATGGCCGTAGAGATATGGAAAATATCCCCACTGGATACTCCAACTGAAATGCTCATAGAAAGTAAAGGTCTGAGTGATCATGTATTTGATAATTTAGAATGTTTTTTGTCAAAACTAGTGTTGTAGCTAGGGGTTGTGCAGAGAACAATTGGGACATGGAATTTGTAATATTGTTTTATGATGGCCACTGGGAGTTAACACAAGAAAATGCAGGAAATCTATCTGCAACACCAAAGACATAGAATAGTCAAGGGCCTAAATCCCACAGCAGTGTCCCAAATGAGTCCAGATAAAAACCCAGAGCTCATGACAATGCTTCCCACGAGTCCAACTGGAGGTCCAGAGCCCACAAGAAGGACTCACGCCAGTCTCTTTATGGATCCGTGCTGGGAAGGCCCAAAGGTGGGAGCCAGAAAGTCCATGCCAGCAGGGTGAAGGAGCTGTGCCGGTGAGATAAGGGTTGTACGCTGGAGCCGAGAAGTCACACTTACAACGAAGACCAGGGCTGTCCCGAAAAGCACCACAGCCATCCTCAGATACACGGAGGTCCTGAGCTCCTCTGATGACAAACACAGTTGAGTACATGCCAGAAAGCCAGTGTGATGAGTTCATCCTGGAGACCAAGTGGCACATGTCTTCCCCTCTGGAACCAGGAAGCAATGCTCGATGTGAGGGCCAGAGCTTCTCCAGGAGAACCAATAGTTCAAACAGCAACTCATAGGAGAACCCACAATTCCTCAATGCAATAACACATTGACACCCTAATGCCTTTCTCTGACTCCACCTATTTATGCTGGCAACTTTCCTCAGGTAGAGCATCTTCACTAAGTGCCATGCTGATGTAATCCAGTTGGCATTAAGTTGACCACCAGTTCTTAATCCATAACAACTAGTGAGCACAATGAGGTCGGCATATTTTTTACTGTGCCTGATAAAGTAGAAAAGAAAAGGATGAGCTCAGGACTTCAAATTCTCAGTTCAAAGAGTCACATAAATGGCCTGAAAATTTCTGTGTTTATCCTAGAAAAAACACTTGTCTCCTATAGCTTCAGCTCTGAAGTTGCTAAAAAAAAAAAAAAAAAAAAAAACCAGAGTCTTATCGTATAAATGGCTGAATTATATATAATGCAAGTTGCATTTCCACCTTCACAGGGTGTTTGCTGTTGGTATGACATTGATTGGGAAGGATGGGGTCCCCAAATTTAGAATGAGGACATAACGGAAAGATCGTGATGAAGTTGGAGATGTTAAGCCCTAACCTCTGCTCAGTCTTTTTTGCAAGTTGAAGCAGTCCTTTACCTTCTGTGAGGCAAGATTAATCCTACTTTGTATGAGAAAAATGGAGTGGCCTTCCTTTAGGTAGTTTCCTTGCAGGATACTGCTGGTTCTCACAGGACCTACCCCCAACACCCCTCGTTTCTAGATCTATAGTGGAGTCAAGTCCTGCAGATCATGAAGAATGAGCTGCAAAATGTGACCCATAAGGAGGTATGCTACATTCCTAAAACACTGCATGATTTTTTTAAATTTATACA